ATACTCTGTTTTAGACAACTTACATTTCAACTTGACTCAAGTTATATTTCATATCAACGTGGGTTACATTTTATTAAACAAGAGTTATACCACTCTGCCACTGAAACACACAAAAAAAGCTAAGTCCGCCTCCTTCCCATTTTTTGTCCCATCAGTGGCCATATTGTCTTCTTCTGGATCTTCCTCTGTCTAGACCTCCCATATCTTCCTTCTTTTGGATTTAGGTATTGGATTTAGGCTACCTAGAGGCCGTTTGGAGTAGCAATAATAGGCTGATATTAAATGCCAATTTGCAATATTAGGTATTAGTGTATTTAATTTGTTTTAGGTTTATTGTTTAATTTGTCATTGTATTTAGAAGGATAGAAGTTTTAGGCTTTTTGTTAGTTAATTTGTGATTTTCATTACTTTGTATTATCTATGAATATTGTCACTAAAAGCGTCTTTAGGATGACAGAAAAGCGGAAATGTCTATTGTAACATTCATTTTGTAGCATCATATCAATTGCTACAATATAGTACCTATTGTAACATTATTGTACTAAAAAATGCCACAATAAAATGATAAATTTCTACAATTCATACGGAGTATATTGTAACACCAGTCGGATGCGGCATGCTAAAAATGCTGCATTTGATATATTGCAACATTTTGCATATGCTACAAAAACTATATTTAGTTGTAGTGAAAGAGAAAAAATAAGTTGGGGAGAGATTTGGTTATAAAATCGTTTGCCGGATCCATGGATCGGTTTGTAAAGACAAATAAAACACTTTAAATATGTTTTTTCTATATGTTGGTTTTTATTCAATTTATCACTTTTCAATATGATTTTTGCGGTGTAAGTTTTTTCTGTCTAGGGCCTCCGAAACGCTAAAGACGTCTCCGCCTGTTAATACTCCGTATGCTTTTTTAAAATTAATGTACTCATATTATTCACAAAAAAAATGATAATAACGTAGCTCATTCCAAAAAAAATGTGTAAAAAAATCCGAAGTAATAAATTATTCAAGCAATCTTATAATATAATTAGTAATTACCTAATCAAACAAAATTAATTTACTAGCAAAGTTTTTTTTGAAAGATTTACTAGCAAATTTTACACCCATATATTTAACATAAATAAGCTAATACCCTTTACAGTAATTTCACACTCAATCAGCCATTTCAACCAACATATTACCAAACACTTTCACTTCAGCACATTCAGCCTATTCAGCCTATTCAGCCGTTGCAGCCATTCCAAACAGGCCCTTAGAAGTCTGGGTCTGGAATCTGGATATGATGCGACATACACCCGTTCGGCAATTCAAAACTCCAACTCATCCACCCAAATCGCCCTCTCCAAGCGAAAAAACAGGAAAAGGGAGACGGACGAGGTGACGACAACTACTCGCCGACCATAGTCTAGGGCTGCCACCGCACCACGCCTCCGCTGAGCTGCCTAGCGTGTCTGACCGTGTCCCAGCTCGGCCACTGAAGTAGTGAATCGTTGATATGCTTAATCAGGTAAGTTTATCTCTCTTTTTTAAAAGGAAACTGATTATATTATATCAATCAAACGTGTAAACATACTTCCCTCCTTACAAGCAACCCAAATTTCCTCTATCAAGCATCTAAAACTACGACCCCTCGTATAACGCCAAACCTCCTCGTGAGGCTCTGCAAAGCCCAAAGGCCCCCCACTCTCTGGCTAGACTTAGAATAAACCACCCCGAAAGGAGCGAGACTATTCGTGAACCATGAGAGAGTTTCGAAGCTTTTAACAGCCAAACAAGCCTTATCGCTTCCACCAAAAACAGCATTCCACGCCAAGCAAGAGAAAACAAAACTCAACCTATCGCTAAAGTTCCAAATAAAGAGAAAGGCAACATGAACAAAATAAGAGGAAAAACAGTAGAAATAAATAAAAACTTCATGGCTCTCAGCCTTATTCAACTCCCAAAGATGTGGTCCAGTGACTCTCAATGATGTGTCTGGTGAGCTACAAATTTGTAGCTCGCCTCCTCCCCATCCCCCCCCGGTATGAGCAATCTCCATCTCCTCCCCGGTCTGGTGTTCTGCTGAGTCCTCCACACGCCTTCATTTCTGCTCGATGTATCCCCTCTCGTGTGGTGAAAGCTCGCCTTCCACCGTACATGATCGCATGCCTACCTCTCTAATTCCACTGGTAGTCTTGCTATCGAAACCGGTTCCTTTCCCTGCTAGAACAAGCCATTTATTCTCTTTCCATTGTTTTGCCTCTTTTGTAGCTCTAAGCCAAGGCCCAAATGGCTTTTCACCAGTGACTTCGTACCCCCTTCGCTTGCGCGGGCAATGACTCTCTGCATGCCCTATTTTACCACACAGAAAACAGAAACTGGGCAGTTTCTCATAGCAAAATCTGACACGGAAGGTGACACCTTCCTCCTTTTGCAGAACCAATCTTCTTTTCAAAGGTTTTCCCAGATCAATGCAAACACAAATTCTCATGAAGGATTCCCAATTCTCAGAAAAGTTATTATCATCAACTTTTATAAAATTGCCTAAAAAATTCCCAATACGTTCCGCATTCTCAACAGTGAAATATCCCACTGGGATATCATGAACTTGAACCCAAAAATCTGCTTTATTCAGTGGAACAGATAGGGGAATATCTCCCTCTTTAAGCTTGCTCATAACAATTAAGTTCTGATAAAAAAGCCACGGTCCCTCCTCCTCCACCCTACTGACATCCTCCTCATTAGAGAACTGAAACACATACCTTCTAGGACCAATTCCAGTTATAGTAACAACATTTTCAGGTTTTCCACACAGCTGCCATAATATCTCTAAACTGAGAAAAACGTACCGACTTTTCTGAAGTTATGGTTCCCACCATGGACAGATTGTGTTTCGAGGAGTTCGGTGCCATAGGTGTGACCATGAGGACCTCGTCCTCCTCCTCCGGATCCAACAGCTCATAAGCATTGGCTAGCGCGTCCACTCCTTCGATGTTCCCCTGTTCCATTATTGATTGCCCAACAACGAACTCGAAACTCGTCCGTTTAAGCCTCCTGTCCAAAGCCTGTTCTTGCTCGCGATAAAACTCTGCCGCTTGCCGAACTAGGCTTAGGCCGTGAAATACTACGGGCGAAAGGATTGCCCGACCAACAAAACCCTAGCCGCGACGGCTAGGTCCTCTCCGCTCGATAATGTTGTCAACAAACAACTACTTTTTTTTTCAACAAACAGCTACTTCTTTCATATGTCTTACTATATTATTAGGTAAGTTTATCTCTTTCAAAATTGTAAATTATTAATATTCTTGATTATTACTCCCTCAGTCCCATAAAGTTCGTCATATTTATTTTTCTTGGTCAATGAGGATAAACTTTGAGTAATGATTATATATTTTTATTTTTATTTTAATTTTTAATTTATTATAAACTTTGAGTAATGATTATAATTACTATATTGGTGTATAATTTATAAATTTTATACTTTTATGAGAATATGTTGAATAAGAATTATTTTGATATAAATTTTATATTATAAATAATTTTGTATTAAAAATATTACTGATCAAAGTATATTATCATTGACCAAGCAAATCAATTTGCAAACCTTTTCGAGATGAAGGGTATGTGATATTGTGATTGAGTTGGTGATTTTTATTATCTATTAGGCTGACTAATCTGTGTCATTTAAAAAAAAGAAATAGTGATCATATATGACAAATTAGTTTTTTTTTTTTTACAAAAACAGATTAGTTTCTTGTTTTTTATAATTTGTAATCAAACTAATTATATTTAAAAACTTGGTGGAATAATTTAGGGGTGGATTGGGCTCAATGCCAGGGAGGGCTCAGACGCACCCTCATCTTTTAACTAGTAGTGTATATATAAAGGGTAATTCTATTTACAAACCTCCATTTGCCAAACACAACCCACGTTTTTTTTACAACAACAAATTAGTTTCTTGTTTTTTTTATAATTTGTAATCAAACTAATTATATTTAAAAACTTGGTGGAATAATTTACGGGCAGATTGAGCTCAATGCCAGGAAGGGCTCAGACGCACCCTTAACTTTTAACTAGTAGTGTATATATAAAGGGCAATTCTATTTACAACCCTCCCATTTGCTAAACATTTTTTTAATTCCCATCATATCCTTATTATATGACCAAACACAGTTACACAGCCTCATCACTTGCACATCCAATGGGCAATGCATATGTAGCAAAGGTTTACTAATAATGATGATGGCTGCTCCTCTTCTAACAAACATGTATAGATATAAAGTTACAGAGTAATTAGAAATTACTTTGTACGTAGTAGTATAACTCATTTAATCGGCCAATGGAAATATTTAGTATATTAATCGGTCTATTTAATCAACCAGTTATGGACATAGCTGAAAATCAAGGAGACGGAGGCCTTCCTGGAGCTTCTCAATGCGGGATGCGGTGGATCTGGATGAGAGGCGGCAGGGGAGAAGCGCCCCCAATCAAAATTAGGTGATAGGAATGCAGAGAAGATTTGGTCGGATGCGAATGAGTTAAAAGGTGATGCAGGTGAAGGGAGAGTAACGCCGGAGTTGTTGCGGTGGTTGAAGTGGGAGTTATGCCGGCGGCAGGCGGAGTCGTTGCAATCAGTGATCTATCCTTGAGATTGGAGAGACGGAGGGGAGAAGAAGCGGTGGGTGATGAGGCGGTTGAATACAAGGATCTCTGAATCGTCGGGGATGCCTTTGATTCAGGCGTCGAGATTGTTTGAGTTATTATTATCATCTTCCTTTATCAGGCTTCCCTTCCGTGCAACAAGAAAAAATGGAAGTGAAATAGAAATTGTACAGTGGGTATGGACTATGGAGCATCTTTCAAGACAGAATAACTACAATTTAAAAGGGTAAATTTGGAAACTTAATTGTATGGTGACTGTATTCAGAAAAATGAGGGCTGCATTTAGAATTTCCCAAATATAAATCAGGCCCACCCCAAAGAAAACTTTAATAGAATATCTGGCCCACCCTAGAAATCCGGTTCTTCCGGAATCCATCTCCCAAACAGTAGTAGGGGCCAGCCGTCCAATTGTCCAAGCCCAAAAAAGGAAATCGCAAATACATCTCCACAGACCACGGTCCACAGCGGCAGGGCCCTAATCGGCAGTCGAGTCGGCCGCCCCATCAGTTCGTAACTTCCATTTCCTTCATCCAGGTTTCTACCTTTACCCTTCCTTTCTGTTATTTCAATTCCATTTTAGGCTTTTAGGCTTTGGCTTCTTGAATACAGAACAAGCCAAGCTCCCTCCTGAAGTTGTTTCTAACTGCCCTGTTTGGTATGAATGAATTAATGAATAAGTCGATACCTATTTCGAATTCCAGCATTCCAATTTCATGAAAGTAGATACTTCATACCCATTTGGTCCTTTAATTGTAAAGTATTTCTCAATCTTTTGTAGACCCAATTTGGTTCTTGGCGACTTGACTTATAATGTTGTCTCAAATTTTGTAGACCCAATTTTTTCTGGACCCAATTTGGTTCTTGACTTATCAGTTATCACTCTCGTCTCTCGTCTCATGGCTCATGCCATTCTGGCCCAATCGCCGATAAGTTTGTTAATTGTTAGGTGTGTAAGTGTGTTATTTAGGTGCATCATATATATTCAATTTGATTTGTGAATTGTGATTCTTAGGTTCTAATGTGTTATACTCCGCAATGCATTATACTAAATTCAATTTGATTCATTTGACTATTTGTGATTTGTAGATTCTAATTGTGATTTGTTATTATTAGTATAACTAACTAATTCCTATATTTGACTTTGGTAAAAACTCATTCCTATAATATTTGTTTTCATCTTTGGTGTTTTTATTGCAATAGATGATATTTTATGCTTAAAATAAATTTTGTTAAATACACATTATTATATTATATTTTGACTTTTCTTGGCAATATACGTTATTTAATTAAATGTGGCCCCCTGGATGGTAAAGCAAAATTGCTCACTAAACCTTTTTTAAAGGCGCAAGGCTGCATGAGGCATTTTCATTGAATTTAGCCGAGGCAAAGGCATGCTCATCACGGAATTTTAACTTATAACCTTGGTAAAATAAATTTATACTACTTCCCAAATAGTGATAACATCACAAAAATACTTCAAACCATTATACACTCTTAATAAACACTTTAATAGAAACAAAATTTAAAATGATTAATAGTAATTGTTGTAACAAACTGTTATATAATAAATTGTTAATAATAAAAAACTGTCAAACGGAGGACTACTGCCAAACAGTTAAAGGTACAAATTTAAACAATCTGATAGGACAAACCATCTTTTATAAATTTAAATAATTTAAATTATTTAAAAATATAAAAAGTTAAGATAAAAAGAAAACCAAGAGTAGAAGGGAATAAAAAAAAATACCTGCAAAACACGAGCAGAAGAAAGAGGAGCGGAAGAAAGGGGAACGGAAGAAAGAGGAGCAGAAGAGGGAAGCATATACAGAAGTAGAAGGCAGAAGCCAATCAGATAAGAGAAGGTTAGAGAGAAAGACTTAGATTTTCGGATGAGACAGGTGAATCGGCAATCGCCAGAAGCCTTTAAACAAAGATGAGTGGACACTTCCACGAAGCGGACGCCTCTCATTAATATAAAGCTCTTAACTTAAATTTTAAATTAACTTTTATTTTCACTGTTATGTTCAGTAATAACTTGTAGTTTAACAAAAATTATCAGTAATTTATCACTATTATCACCTTTATTTATGTTCTATTTGTACTTGTGTTGGAATGAAAGGCCTAATTTTTTTCATTGCACAGGGTCTCCAATTTCTCAGGAGCGGCCCTTTCTACACTCCCAACTCCGGGTGATCGAAAAGAAAAAGAGGAACTTTCTATTCCCTCTGTCTGTTTTACATCCTCCGTGAGACTACCGAGAAACACATTTGGAAGATGGTAAGCTCATACATTTGATTACTCTACAGATCTTTCTCTGTGTATGTAAACTCTCTGATTTTTTCCTTTTATAGAAATCATGGAATTATAGGCGTGATCCATTTTGAAAATGCATTTCTTGTAGACCTTGCCAATTGATTGCCTAAATAGGTTTACTAAACCGATACTTGATTTACTTTGCAATTCCGTTTGTAATGTCCTGTCTTTCACTGCAACATCTAGTTTGTGCTCATGGGTCTGAATAGTAGCTGGTTTGCAAGATTCTGTTTGGCTTGAGATGGGTGTTTGCAAATTGGAATATAAGTAGCTCATTGCATTTTTATGGTTTGCTGAGAAGAAACAAGAAGGCTCTAAGAAGCAATTTGCTGCTAAGAAACTATTAGCCACTGGTCTGCTTTCAAGGATTTGATTCATCATCAAATGCATTTTATGGTTTGCTGTTGTAATTGTGTACCAGCATATTTTTTAACTGCTGAGTTATGCGTAAAATGTTTGTTAAAATCATGATATTTTTTACTGTTCTCCTTCAGTGCATATGTATGCGCGCACATGTGTACATATATACATCATATATATACACAACGTGTGATAAATACCAAGACACCTCTCACTTTTCATTAAATTATGAGCATGCAAGGGTTATGTTTTATTATAAAAACTAGTGTTTGGAGGGTTTGTAAAGAGTATCTCTAGAGTCTCCGAAACAGAAACACGCTCCTTCCCCCTTCCCCTGCTTCATTGTGTAAGGAATATGTTTTTTCTAGATTCACATTATCTGGCATTGCTTACTTTTGCTTTTGATTTTACTAGGTGCGGTTACAGCCTGACCCATTCCTTAATGAACTTACAAGCATGTTCGAGCGAACTATGGAAAAGGGCTCTGTTTGGGTCACACTAAAGCACTGTAATATAGTATCTATACTGATATTTATTTCATTGTTGCATGATTTCATCAAAATAATAATGTTTTATTTGCATTATGAGCTTGCAGCTTCTGATAAGTCCAAAGCCCAACGAAATAAACTGAAGACTTCTGGTGAAAAAATTGAATATAAGTGCCTTATTCGAGCAACTGATGGAAAAAAGAACATTTCTACAATGGTAAAAAAACTTGTAATGCATTTTTAAGAATTTATTTTTGTTCAATTTTGCATTGTATGGATCTTATCTGCAACTTTTTTTTAATTAGTGAAAATCAATCTTTGAACTGCTTTGTGACAACAATGGTGTGTCTTAGCTGTTCAAACCCTTGAAGAGGAACTGGAAAACACGTTTCACACACTTATTAAGTACCTCCTAGGTTTTGTTTCATGCTTACATTGCTTCTTAATTTGAGACTTGAGACCCTAGTTTAAAGTAGCATGTCACCTGTTTTCCTTGTAAGTGGTTTTCTGGTTGGTTTTGAAAAACTCAAGTCTTTGGAGTAAAGGGGATCTTTACTTTTTTCCATTTAGTCATGTTTGGATTACGATGTGTCTATGAGGATGAAGTGGTCTTTATGTAAGAAATTGTTTACTTTGATGGCTGAATAAACGATTTGGATCGAGTAAAATAACTAATGTAAGGTGATTTTTGGGTTGTGTTGTGAATGAGTAATCCCACTTTGTAATATTCATTTGCTCCATCAAGGTCACTGAACAAAAGGCTGGATAGATTTCTGAATCTGGAGTATTATATCAACGGGAAACAGATTTGGTTAACCATTCTATAGCTTAAGATGAACAATTGAACAAACTCGTGTCTTTACCCTTTAAAGTGTGCTAAATGTAGACCAAACTGTGTTCTCTACGTTTTCCTTGTCATGCTTTTCTATTTATGGAGGTGTTTACATCACTGTTGTTGTTGCTGACTATATCCATGAATTGAATGGACTAATAGGTCGGCCCGAAAGATCACCAGCGTTTCCAAGCTTCCTATGCAATTTTATTGAAGGCTCGAATGACTGCTTTGAAGAAGAGGGAGAGGAAGGACAGGAAAAAGGCTGCATATCCTGAGAAGAAACAAGAAGGCTCTAAGAAGCAATCTGCTGCTACCAAGGCTTCATCTTGAATCAAAGTTTTTCTTGCATCTTTTCCCAGCTATGTTTTGTAGGATAGGGATTAAAGTTATCTCCTTTGTCTGGTCCTTGCAAGTTGCAACCAGTGAGATGATTCAGGATTTGTTTCCACAGTATGATTACTATATCAAATTATACGAAATTGAGTCTAGTTTTTTTTTCTTCCAAAACATTCTACTCTGTAACCCGTATATTATTATATAGGAAAAAGGGTCAAATAGACCCTTGTACTATCATGAATCCGTCACATTAGCCTCTCTACTAATAAAAGGGTCGTTTAAACACATTTACTATGCAAAAACAATCAATTTGAGTTTTTTCTACGGTTTAATGGAACCTTCCCAACCGGTTAATGGAAGGTTGACTATTTTCTACGGTTTATTTTTCCCTTTTTGTTCTTTCTCCTTATTTTTCTCCATTCGTTTTGAGTTTCTCCTCCTTTCTCGTCAACTCTCAAGTCCCAGCCCTCCTCCGTCTTCTATTCTAGCTGCACATTCCTGCAATTTTTTCTTTCATCAATCTCTCTCTATATATATTTGGACTGTCCAAGGACAAACATTTTTCCATTTGCTTAAAAAACAATGGGTTTGCATTTCCCAGAACTCATCGGATTCCCAGTTCCCTAGGATTACTCTGTATATATAATGACGTTACTGTTGTTTTCCTCTAGCCTGGCTAATTCAAATAGACGGGAAGGAGACGCTGAAGATTTGTTGCTCTTCTACTCCTAAATTTCAGGGGAGACCGGATGGAGACCAACACAACAGGTAATCCTTCGAAGCACATCCATGGCCGGCCGGCCGGAGAGGGGGAATCCACTGGCGCTTCTTTTTCTGGGTTGCCGTGGATGGGTTTGGACTTTGGAGATCTTCAAGAGGACGATCGATGGTGCGGAAAGGTTCTCCTTCATTGGTGCAGTAATTGACGTGAGCAATTTCCAGCCTTAGAAATTTTATGCTTCCAATTTACAAAAAGAATGCGTGAAAAGAAAAAGGAACGGGATAATCCGAAGAAGAAACATAAAAAAATTAGGGGTGGGAAAAACCGTACCGAAACCCGGAAATCGACCCTGGACCGACTCGAATTATGATCCCGGTCCGGGTTTTTTCTTTTTAACCGGCCCGAATTAAAGAAAACCCGGACCGAACCGAAAATTCCGGGCTCATTAACGGGCCTTAAAATCTATAACCCGGCCCGGACCGAAAAAACCCGAAACAATTAGTTTTAATATAAAATTAATATAGTATATGAATATAAATAAAATATTTCCTAATATATGATTATAATCATGGTGGATAAAAAAAGATTTAGTAACTTTTAGTGACTACAAATATGTTGAATTTGTTTAGCGTAATGATGATGACCATGAGAATATATTTATAGCAATTCTAGTAACTTTTTGATTTATAAAATTTATTTCGTAATATTTTTAAGAAATCTATATTATTTATATATATACATCTTACATAAAATATTAAGATAATTATCTTCTTTAAATTTGAATTGTTGGTGATTTTGGAGACTAATATTTGTGTTATTGTCTGCAGTTTGTATTTTTGATTAATTTTATTTGAAAATAAGTGTTAAAATATAAAAGAACAATGACATATTTCACGGCCAGGCTTTAACCGGTCCAACCCGAACCCGGACCGAACCCGGGCTACCAAAAACCCGACTCGGACCGAATATAATGGGCTTTGTTCCGGTCCCTAATTTTCATAACCCGAGACCTTCCGGGTAATTTCCGGGTTTAACAAAAACCCGACCCAGACCGGACCGATCCCACCCCTAAAAAAAACAAGAAGCTGATAAGCATAATTGACAAAGAGGTGTGGGTCATTCGAACAAGGGAGTGGATCAAAAGAAAGGAAAAAAGTTGAAAAATAAACCAAAAGTAAAAAAAAAAACCGGTTCTAACCTAGTAACCTACTATAGAAGGTCATCTTCCTCTAAATTGACTAAATTGACTGTTTTTTAAAAGTAAATGAGTTTATATGATGGTTTTTTTAGTACATGGGCTTATGTGATCAATGTGCAATTGTATGAGGGTCTATTTGACCCTTTTTCCTATTATATACTTCAAAATAGTGTTGTGAATCTAGGTGACTGGATTTCCGATTCATAGCTAGGCAGTTGGGCGATACAAATTACAAAACATGTCAATATAATTTATTCCAACTCTATTAGAAAAACTAGAATTGAAATTGGTATTAATCCATTATTATTGCACAACACCCAACTATGCCAGTGACTTTTCGGTGCTCATGTTTTTCATTTTGTATTTAGGATGTTTTGCAATTGGATTGATCAATTTAAGGCTAGATTCAAACAAATTAAACTAGACTTAAATACACTAGATAGATGAGATGTAGATAATAGTGAAATACACAAAAGTCAGAAAATCACTAGAAATCAAACCATAGACAAAATGTATACAACTAGACCAAATAAAAAACTCTAATTAAAGTCATTTTAGACATCCATAACCAAATTTGCAAGTTTTGTATGATAGTATAGTATTTTCTTAACAATTCCAAGATAGATTCACTTTCCTAAAGAACTTTTAAATAGAATTCAAATCTCACCTTCACACAAAAGCTTTAGCTTCCTTGAAAAAAGGATGGTCCCCCACAACCGACCGGCAGTTATCCGGGGAATGTAAGTCAAGCTTTGATCACATTCTGACCAAAAGAGAGTGGGATTCCTTCCCAAATCATTGTGACACCCTCTTCCTACCAAGTGAGCTACGCCCCCGATAACTTTAGCTTCCTTCAAATTACATAAAACGATTTCATCCTAAAGAACTTTGAAATAGAATCCCAACATCTAATTTGGATAGTATTTTTAATCTATTATAATATCTACAAAAGATAATGTAAATATTCTTAATTGAGATGACGTTTAAACTTGTGATTTCTTGAGAAGAATATAGTCATATCATCATCTACTTTAGTACTAATAAAGTAGAGTCATCTAAATTGGAATTGAATTCTACCTAAATTGCAATTGAGTACAATAATTGAAATTGACAATTTTCAGATTTTGCCCACAATTGTTTGCCATTTGAATTGAATCCGGTAAATTAAAATAATACGGATAAATCGATAAGCATGGAAATCCTTCATAACCAACTAACTATATCACCGCAGACTTATTTGTATCACCGAATAGATAAAACCACATGACTTAATACATATAAGCATGAAATTACCATAAACGCAGAATTAACATAAAACCCTCATAACCCATTAACTGTATCACCGAATAACATATTAGATAACACCGATGCACATCGGATTAACCTCATCAAGATAAATAAATTCATTAACCTAAATATTATCAAGTAAATATAAATAAAAGATAATTTTACCACCGATGCACATGGGATTAACCTTATCAAATACTCCGTACACACAATAAATAGAGAAACCCTTCGCCCCCTGAATTGCGTTTCATGCGTAGTGGCCGTGGTGTGCACGTACATGCTTGATCTTTCCATTCTCGGCTGCCTATCAATTCTACTTTGAGGAAAATCAGCAATAATGAGTTCTCAGAACACCTCTCATACAAAAGGTGATACTGACCTGCATTGATTATATTTGTTCACTCACTTCACACAGATACAATATCTTTAGACGGATTAACCAATTTATATATATGCATGTCCTAAATGTAAACAATATCTAGATGTCCACTTCCTTAATTTATTTCTAAAACTATCAGATTTCAATTACGAGAATACACCTTTGAAAGTCATAAAATGTGGATGCTGAATGTCAAGTTGAATGTCATATGTCTAGGAATCATGTATCACAGTAGGACTGCAAAATAATAATGTTGTTGAGATATATTATCCCGGCCTATTACTGTTCAGGAGCCCAAGACATTATCCAGTACGGAGCCCGAGCAGCTAGGTCCATTTCGGCCCATTCTGGCCCACTTTGGCCATTAGGCCCGACATCGGCCCGTTTGGCCCATTAGGGTGGAGTACCTCCCTCAACCCTTTCCCTATTTATAGGAGGTTTTCCCTCCATGTAAAGGATCTTTTTCTTCCTTCTTCCTTCTTCCTTCTTCCTTTAGAATAGCTTACAAGACTCCATTAATGGGAGCTCAACTTGTACTATGTAATGGTGAGGAGAGACTAATGAGAATGAGAGGACTTGGACATTAGCCTACAAAGTCCCGTGGTTTTCTCCCTTTCGGGTTTCCACGTAAAAACTGAGCTTGTTCATACACATTTATACATATATTTACTATATCGTGTTGGATTAAACTCAACACTGGCGCCGTCTATGGGAATCTGTCCAAAAAGATTCACGTTGTTCTTCGTTTCTAAGAAAAATTCATACGAAAATGCACTGATGACAAAGAAAACTATTCTGGAAAGCAAAAGAGGAGGAAGAAGATTCTGGGAACAAGGAAAAAATTCCAGAGGAAAGTTTCTGGGAAGTCAAATCTGGGTTCTCCAGATCTGGGTTTGGGGTCGCCGGAACTGTTGCCACCCTGTCCGCCGCGGTGGACCATCCGGTGAGTTCAGCTGCACCAGACGAAGACCGCCGTGGCACCCCAGGGCTCATCATCTCAGTCCTAGGAGAACTCCATCGCAGCAGCACTGTTCACCGGTTGAAGCTCGTTTCTCCAACGACACCGTCGTCGTCGCCGAGTCGCCGACGGTGGGCCGAGGGTCATCCCTCCGTCTGTCCAAGCGTTGCTCGGGCCCCAGCTTCTCTATCGACGAGACTGAGAAGGAATTCCGGCAGAGAGCTCCTTGACTTCCGCCATTAATGGCAGCTTGGGGTTCAGAGAAGCACGTTGGTCGGTTCGGCCAGATCTCCACCAGAGACTAGCACCCATGGACACCCGTGCTCTGCTGCAGGAGCCATCTCCATCAATCCATCATCCAACTGGCCTGCGAGTGGGCTCTTCACCTAGATGTCCAAAGGATACTCCGTATATGATTGCCTTGGTTCTAAGCAGACCACGTCTGCGTGTTTGAGGCCAAGCAATGGGGGGCCACTTACCTTGCGGGAATTTTGACAAAGTCATAACCTGATGGGGGGCTCAATTTTACCAAGTCAGGGCTAATTATCTGGCCGAACCTACTCCTCAGGAGAGCTAAGTATCTACACTTAATTGCTTACTTACAAAATTGGTATATTTAATGATGAATGCTAGAGTAATTTTCTTGCTATTAGTTAATCTGTTATCACCATTATTTATTAGGGATTATAATCTCCCAAAATTAAATAATGCCGAGCGACGCTCTCGTGATAATTAGATTTCACCGTCA